CTGCTATCACTAATGAAAGGTGGAAAAACAATGGATCGTAACTTACGCTATTTAATTACAACTAAAGGTTATGTTAATAGAAATACTTACATGTTTTTCGTAATGCAGGCACAACTGCATGGACTCAACAATGCTTCCGGCGTTTGTTTGCAATTTTTTCTCATTTTCTATGCATTCTCCTGTTCACTTGTAGAAAAATTAACAAATCACTCAATTTCTGTGATGAACTCATGAAATTTTATAATTGCGTTGTGAAGGCGTACCTTTGCATATTTGTCGTCTTCCAGACAAAGAAATGAATGCTGATTGCCAAATTAAAATCGCTGCTGGGCTGAATTTTTTAAAGAATGTAGAAAATTTTATGATTTCATTTATTAAAGTATATTAAAATATATTCGAAGCACGTAACCAGAGTTAGTAATCTACTCGAGTAACATCAGAGCCATCTGTGAGGTTAGACTCGAAGCTCGGGTCCCGCAACGAGATCGGCAGTGGATAATTCACTAATTACTCAATATCGGTGATTAATTTACGAACTTTTATAATTGCATCGTAAAGCCAGATCCTTCAAGAACTTTCCAATATATTTTTCGATATAAATTTATCCCTAATTAATTAATTATTAATAATTATTCTGCGCAGTGTTTGAATTGTTGTCGAAGACGCCATTGGTTTTTCGTTAATTACTATACTCTACGTAATTAATTTATGAAACTTTATGCACTCGTTAGAAAGACAATGTCCTTGCGAATCTTCTCATATAACTTTTGATCACATTTTGCTTCTAGTTTCGTTTAGTATTAAATATTTTCTCGGAAGATCGCGATGGTCGTCGTTACGAAATCATAGACGCCACAAAACAAAAATTAATAACTAACAATTTAGGGTTAAATTCTTTACGAAGATTATATAAGAATGTAGCCTGAAGTTCCAGCTTTGCGCAGAAATTATAAAAGTTCACAAATTGTTTACAGAAATTGAGTAATTAATAATTTTTCACTGCCGGAGCCATTCTATCCTTTTCTATCCCCTCTCTGTCATTGTCAGTCACGTGACCAGCTCTACGTCGACCTCCTCGCCTATTCTATATTCCTATCACTTTCCTGCTTTTTGAGCCCAAATCATAGATGGCGCTGATCGCAATCGAGCAATCTAAAACCACGTGACGCTTTGAGCGGGAGATACAAAACAATAAAACGACATAAATCCGTATAACAGATTTTTATCCCTTCTCTTTATTCTCTGAACATCCAGACGAACATGAAGTTACAGATAAAGGCGAGTGATTTTGTTCTTGGTAAAAAGAAAATGACACTACGATGGTAATATGCTTAGGTAATTTTTATTCACTTTGAAAGTTTCACATATACACGATAATTGTTAACGATATAATTCTTCGGTTTTTTTCTTGTAACTTTCAATTAATTTTTTGTCCTTTCTTCAGTGCTCGGAAAATATAAATAAGAGACAATCAATAAAAATTTCAACTTTCTATAACATAGTTATAATGTAAACAATAAACTAACTCTTTCTCTTTCCTTACAACTTCTAATTTTTCTTGAGTTTTTACTTCACGTCACTTTTCCAATCGCAACTGCAGTCTTCCTTCCTTTTTTATTTGTAAGTCCAGGTGGTGAAACAGCTGGTTGTGAGTTTAATTTTGGATCAGTTAAATGATCATGAGCTAACTTGCCTTACCACGAAACTTTTTATTTAATATCACAGATTTTTCATTATCTTCTTCTGCTTCTTCACCAAATGATAAGAGATTGAAGTCTCTGTAACAAAATTTTTCATTACAAAGAATAATACTATCAGGGCTACATTCTGCAAACATATATAATTTCTACTTTACTGCTACTGTTTCAGTTTTTGAACTGTCCTTTACTTCTTCATTTTCCGGTACTATTATTCTTGGTATAATATCAGCAAATGGATTGTTCAATATTATAGATTTTAACAATCTTTGAGGATAAAGTGGTTTATCATTCTACAAAAAAGAGGAAATATTATTTTTATGTCACTTCTTGATATATTTTCTTGTAAACATTAAATTTACCTCATCTACAAGTGCTTCTTCGAGTTTAAGCATGTTATATATAACTTCCTCAGTAACTTTACCAAAGACTGTAGGTTTATTTTGCAAATCTGGTGTAGAACTAAGAGTACAGAAGAATTGGGAACCATTGTCATCTTTTCCAGCAATAGCCATAGTAATTAAATCTCGTCGACAAAAACGTGATCTTGCATGAAATTCGTCCTAAAACACATAGATCGAATAACTATGTTTTAATAAAAAATAAATTCATTTTGTCTATCTACTGAGAGCAAATTGTTTATTTATATCTGTTGCTTTCACTGATATAGTTTCACTAAAAATTCTTTTTTCTATTTCACTGTTTTCTATGACCTTGTGTAGTGTCTGCGTCAGAGACTACTTTTAGGAGACACCTTTCTTTTAGTTTGGCATCTATTTTTGTTCTAAAAATTCAAGAAATACTTAAGAATAAGAAGAAATAATTTATGTACATTAAGCAATAAAATTGAACATATTGATTGACTGATATTATTGCATAAAATATAAGTATTAATGATAGGTTTCACTATATAAAAAGGTATATACAAACATTTGCATTAACGCCTTTACTTGAGATTGATGGTCTTCGTAATTTTGTTACAAGTGGTATTATGACATCTTTATTTTCTGTTTTATCATGTATAACATTAGAGTTCAATATTGTACCATCAGTATTGAAAATGTCATGTTCTGGAATAATCAGTATACCTTCAATGACTTTTTTTCAAAATTTTTGATGTCTTCGTAATTGAAGATTCAGAAGCTGATTGTTTTATTTGATCAAATAAACTATGCAAATAATTCAAAGTATCTTCTAAAGTAACTTGATTGGAATGATTGTAAGCATTAAAAATTTTTGTAGTGACCATTGCTTTAATTGCATTTATTGACCTGGAAATCTGTAACCATTTAAAGTTTTTAAGTATTAAAAATATAAACTAAAAGCTTATCATATTTTTTAATAATACATATATACCATTATTTAATAAATCATTATAGGATAATAATATAAACTTTGATTGAGATTATGATAATACATAAAAATTAGTTTAAATATACTGTTTGTTCCTATTATTTGAAGAACTAAATATTATATGTAGATTACCTTTCACAAAAAAAATATTTATGTGAAATAGTAAAGAAATGAAAAAATTAAAAAATGTATTTCATTTAATTATATGTACTTTTTTGATAATTCCTTCCTTATCAGTTTAATTAAATCTACAATTGAATTTACAATTACATTAAATAAATATCCAAATTTTGTAATGAAAAATACAACATACTTGAAGAGAAATGATTTAAATGAATCTAGGTGTATTTATTAAAATATTTGCTTACCTTTTACATTCGCATATAAACTGAGAAATTGTAAATATAAACTTTTATGACAAAATTAAATAAGCCACACAGATTGCTGTCTTCCATTGATAAAATACACGAAAGAAAGGAAAACTTGAACAATCTCCATTTCGTGTTATAGGCGGGATGGTGCACGTTTTGCTTCACGAGTAAGTAAATAAGTAAGTACTATGCGTTGCAGAGAAGAAGTCCACTGAGTGAAATGTAGGATCGAATCCACACCAATCCACAACTTCTAACGTCATCGCACAAGAAAAGTAAACGCATTTCCCTTCTTGATAGAAATGATTCCTTCCTATTAGCTCCGTCATATAGCACCATGTGACAAAGAAAGCGAACGAAACAATCGAGATAAAGTGAAACAGACGCAACAAATGTGAGATGTGAGAGTTATCCCTAAAGCATTATCTTCAGACCTGATGAATGTTCATTTCTTAATTTTATTTAACTATACTTATATTTCATACACATATTAAATATGTGTTCAATATTTACGAAGTATAATGGAAAATAATCATGTTTTGTTTGTGCAGTATTACTCTCATGTTCTCAGGCTTGCGAAGTATTATTATTCGAGTATAGGAATTATACGGATATCTTATGCTTATGTTAACATATTACGTTACCGAATATGAAAGTAGTGGGTTTGGTAGTTTCATAGAAGAGTGATAGCACAGGCAGAGAGAGAGAGAGAGGAATACCCCCTTCTCCTGTGCCGAAATGATTAACTTCTTCTCAGCAACGCATGGTACTTACATGAAACTATTCACTATAAAGTTGTTAAATTTATACATGCATTCATTTATACATAATATATATCATTTTGTGAGAAGTACTTTTTTATCATTTTTCACATACATTGCATAGATTATTGCCTGGAAAAGATACACAAATACTGCACAGGTACTGTATACCAGTTAAAGATCCGATAATATTTCCCTTCGGTATATGTACAATTTCGAAAAATATTAAGTATGAAAATATACATGACATATGAAAATATGAAATCATGATGAAACTACACAGCAAAACAGTAAGCTGTTAGAAGGAAGAAATAAGATTTTTAATTTCTTATACCTCGCAACCGTTAGCACTATTTAAAGATCGTTCAATTGCTTCATTTGCACGTTGCAGAAACAATCAACTATATAAAATGCAAATAATTTTAATTATAACTAGGAATATGACTACAAATAAGAAGTTTCCGATTAACATCATTTTGGAATCATTGTAGAATATTTCTCAAATTATATAAATATTTATAGATTTTAGACGGATTTTTTAATTAATATTAATAATTGTTAAATTAATTTTTGTTTTTGTATGAATAACATTTGGTATAATTAAATTAACCACATCTAAAAATACATAAAACAATTTATACAATACTTTACATACGGACTATAATGATCATATTGGTCATATTATGACTTCCTAGCATTTAAATTTAATACATTCTTTAGATTTTTAAGAATTTCCACGTACCAGATTTCGAAGGACATTTGATACAACTTGAATTTCTGTTCATACGTTTGTCATGTCTAAAAAAGTTTTAGTTCCGCTTTTTATCATAATTACCTTTAGCTGCAAATATATAAAGATTACATATTAGACCATAATGCAGTCGCACTTGGTAAAAAAAAAAAAGAAAAAAAAAGAAAGTAAAGACAAAGGCATTTCCTATTCCATGTGGAGTTACTCGATCCACTTAAAGGCTACTTACTTCCCTACATTGGACATGGGGCTGAGCAGAATGAAGAAATGTAGACGAGATCTACGTTCGTCGCACAATTTTATTGCCGGAGCGAACTTCGTTTGTATCCACTCGAGCGTACACAGTTTTTTGTATTACAGCTATCTTCGGTTGGCTGCCGATAATGTACAAACTGTTCCGAGTTCTTCTTTCTTTTGTCTCTTGTTTCCTTCAACACAATAAATAAACGAATTCGCGCGCGTGTTACCGATTACGAAATGACAATATAAAATCGTCCTGCATTAGTAAATAAATTAAGTAAACGAGCGGTATAGAACGGTGTAGAAGTATAATCGGGATTCAGGGCGTATTTCGTATTTGATATAACAATAATACACTACCGGTTGCATTTTCGTGTTCTTTACGTGTATATGTGTACGTGTGTGCGTGCATGTGTGTGTGTCTCTCGTGTGGATTCTTGCATGAGTGCACGCGTGCTGGCGCGCGCGCGCGCGCGCGTTCGCGTGGGTGTCGATGGGCATTGTTCAGTCGCTAGTTCCTACGCCACATTGCACATACAGCTAACGTACAAATATAATGACGTGACGATTCGTACGACACTACTTCCTAGAGTCTCTATACAGCGCGACGCTACCCGCCGTTCAAAAGGAGTTTTTTCTTTGGAGCTGTTTCGAGACTTAGATACTTCTGATCCCGGGTTGCCGGTTGCAAGGAAAATCGCCTCCCAATTACCCGGTCATTCACTCGTTGGAAATTCTTCTAGGTCTCTCTGCGTTGATTCTCAGTATAAAAAAAGTTGCTGTTGCTGGGGGGCAGTGGGACTGGAGCATGATGACGGCGTGCAGGTTTTAGCAATGGGCTAGTTGCTATTCGTCGAGCGTTGCATTGCCGGAATCACTGCGTCTCGTTCAGTCCCGTAGATTTTACCGGCCTTTTTCGCCATGTTGCCCAGCATCTCCATCGAGCATTTGTGTACAGATCTTAATGATAATGCCCATTCCTTTAGACTGATTTCATCCTAAAAGAATTTATTGTATATAACTTGTAATTCACTAACTTATTAAATATAACTTACAACTGACAACTTATTGTTTCTCATGCTTTATACTGAGATTTTTGAGCCAGTACATATTTTAAAGAATGTTTCTAATTGTAATTTAATAACAAATATTTTCTAACTTATTTTCTAATTTATTTATTAATGGAGATGATTTCATTTTTCTTCGTAAATAAGATTTTGGAATCTACAAAATTGTTATATTATTTTTTAGATATGTATCTTTACTTACGGGATTTGTAAGTACTATTTTCGCGTCTCTCATACGAACAACAATACACTGTTCTCCTTTCACGTGTTGGAGATCTGCGCTAATTTCCTCGACCTACAAAATTTGTTAGAAAATTTATTCAAGATCACAGATATTCGATACCTAGGATTAATTTACAACAAAATGACATCTTAGTATCGAAGTAAAAGTAACAAAAATGTTGTTATAATTTTCAATAAATTCAATCAACTTTTGACTTCGATTTTGTAAAACAAGACTTCATTAATTAATTTCGACATAATTTTGGTATTTATAGGATTTTAAAAGTATCGGTAGTTCAGAAATCTTGAATTCCTTAAATTATACTTCAAAACCAAAATGTCCTGATAGATCACAAAGTTAAAAGTGCTAATTAGGAAGTCAGATTACTACTACAAAACTTCTTAACATTTAAATTGTCAATTGGGTAATCATTACCTGTTGATGCACTATACGAAAATAGATCCTATAATAGATATATGTTTTAGATTTCATTAAAAAAATGTCGAGGAACTTAAAATTCATAAAGCTTTCAATGAATGAATTTTAAAAATACAAGGAAGAGAAGACTGAAACGAATAATGTTTTGAATCCCATTATACTTGGATAAATGGAAAATATGTATGAGATTAAATTTTTTAATTTGTTTCATAATTATTTGCAATTTTACACTTACTTTCACCTCCATTATTTTCAATTTTATGTCATTTTAAACTAAAAATATCAATTCTGATACATAGAGATAGATAAAGTGTTGATATAATTAGCATATTTAATCGTCACTATTAAACTTATCCATTCGTTTACCTGGTCAAACAAAACCAATTCAGGTTTCGTCGTGGATTCAGGATGCAATTCTAATCTATTAGGATAAAGTTTTGCATAACGTGTCTGCCACGCACTCGCGAAAGGACCACCTAATTTTTTAATATACCCGTGTAAAATGCAATCAGATCCTGCAACAGATAACATTCGATACAATCACCGTTTACTGAGAACCTTATTACATGAGAGAATGATCAGTCTCTTCACCTTTTTCATCTACCTTGAAGCGCTGCTTCTGCTTAGCTTTCTTCTTATTTTCCAACTAAAATTAGTACAAGAAATAAATTTAAAATAGAGAAAAGGGAAATACAGAACGAAAAATTGCACGAAAGTGAGGAAATCGAAAAATTATCGAAGGAGTATACAATTCGTACCTTGTCTGCTTCGTTATTGATTGTCTCGAACACAGTCTCGGCTACCTCAGCCTGCCATCTCTCTGAGATGGTTAAAGGGAAATTTTTGTACAGCTCTTGATCCGTGTCTGTCAGTTTGATACCTTTAGTATCCTCCTCATCAAAGGAGCCGATATCAAAGGCGTCTGCGGCGTTCACCTCGCCACGTGGTGGTATAAGTGGCGGTGTGTATTTCTGGAGATAAACTTGTTGCCAATCGATACCATTGAAAAACTGATGCTCTTTTAACTCGTCCGCACCTCCGCCTTGGCAGCCGAGTCTGTTGTTGATGTCTCGTTGCAGCAGACCTTCTAGCAACGAACGCAGGTCTTTCGAAAATGTTTCCGGCAGCTCAACGTTCTGAAATTATTTTTACCAGTATCATAACACTTACTGCGATGCAAGATAATTTTCCACTGCATGGATCATGAAACAGTAAATATGATTTGTTTTAGAAAATGTTTCACGATACATGTTGATTTTAGATTATGTTCCTTTTCGTTTTATTTTAACGTTATTTGATTACATGCTATAGCTAGTTATAAGGATACACGAATGCTATCAACTTCTGAATACACTACAAAAGGATTATTTATTAGGTAGTTAGTATTGTAATATAAACAAATATTTTCAGTGTTATATTTTGTCAGTTTTACTACTGATAAAAATATTCTATATCATAATACAGAGTATATAATTGTATTTGAAAAATACAATATTAGTTACTTTTATATGATAAATAAATTTATACTGTTAATTAGCATGAGGAAACCTTATTTAATAAATTATATTGTTAATTAGTAAGAGAGAACAAATAACGAACCTTAGTTAGTGTCATGTGATCTATTTCGTGTTTATCTTTAGTTTTATGTTGCCTGAATGGACTGTGTCCCTTCAATAATTTATGCAACATACAGCCAAACGAAAACCAATCGGCACTGGAGTCGTAAGTTACTCCCTTCGAGAGCACTTCCGGCGCCATATATCCGTGTGTTCCTCTGCAATAAAAATATTTGTCGTTATATTTCGTGTTAATATCGGACAACACATTTATTGGAATACAACTAGTCATTTATACATCTTTTACTTTCATAAATTTGTAGCGACCAGCGTTCACACCCTCATCGATAAATGGAAAACGGAGATTCGAGGTTTTTCGCAAGTCCTCGGTGAATCCTCGACCCCCATGAATACAAATTCCTATGCTACCTAAGTATTCTCCATCTAAGGCGGGGCCTGCTAGAAAGTCGCATTGACGGCCCACTAGCAGGCCCAGGATGAAAAACGTATCCCTTCCTTGTGTCCCTCTACCTGCTACCTATCATAGCACGACGACCAAGAGGATACCAAACGGCAACACGTAGGAACCCACAGTCAAGAAAAGCAACCCCATGGGGGGTGGACCTCCACAAATTGTAGGAAATAATCACGAATAAATTCTACAACTGACGAACAGGAAGTAAGCAATTCTTTGATTTGTAAGAATTAAAAAAGGAACCCCAATTAATTAACCTTGATGTAGAGACCTAACTCGTGTCATTGAAAGAAGTGACGGAGATACTTGATTGCTGGTAAATGCATTTTTATTATTATTCGAAATTATAGTTTAAACTATAATAACTTTAGATGAATAATGACAACTGGAATGTGCGTGGATATTAAAAAATGAAATTTCTTTTTAAGAAATTAGAAAATCTAGTTTTATTAGAAAACTGATTATAGTGTTTAAAATCGACGAAAAAGAAGATGGATGGTAATGGTAGGTGGACGCGAATTCAAAGAATTCTGCTTACAAAGGAAAGTGTAGGATTCATGATAAAGTAGTAAATGCTTGAGTTAAGAATTTTGGAGTAATGGATATAGAGGGGTGGAATAATGTTCGCGTTTTATCGCTTTATGGAAGCTACGCGCGGATAGCTGATGGTGCTCGTTAATCCTCCGTATATGACTCCTTTAGGCTAGCATTAGGAAGGTTCAATAGGTATTTTGTGACGTCGGCTTGCGTCCTTGTCTTGAACTGTATCGTGTATAAGATAATCGTCGAACTGGCTGACGGGATATCTCGCGTTTTAGTTGACCGATTGACTCGAAATTTTGAGATCTTCATCAAATGTACCTTTATTACATAAACTAAGGATTTCGAAATCTGATATCTTTTTCTATTCTTGTTTGCTACCTAAAGAACGAAAAGCACAAGGAAAATCAATATTTAAAATTAAAAATACTGTCATTTCTTTCAATTTTCGAAATTTCGGTGCTTTGGTGGTTCGTGCTATAGCCGTATTTATACTAATTAAGATGCTTTTTAGTTTTTTTGTTTCAGATAACCAGATAGGTTATCTGAAAATACCCTCCTACGTAGGTACGTGTTAATTCTCGAAAATATAATAATTGTCGAAAAAGTACATATAGGATCGAAAAATTTGTGTCAACAATACTTTGCAAACAATTTGACATGCGTAGTAAGAAGAAAATTCCAAGATTGTATCAATGATATTAGAAAATAATTAAAAATAATTCATATACAATATTTATATTACATTTATTGGAGATATGGGCCATGGTGGCGCTAGTGAATTAAATGGAAAATCGTCTTAAGGCTGCCTTAAAATGCTTATTAGCGAAAGAGTTAATTTACAAAAATCCGTTGTCATATTATGTTGGGATAGTCTCCTGTTTACCTTGGAATTGTAATGTAAGTGTACACAATTATTCGAAGGTACTTACACGCTCGCGTGAGGTTTCTTCTTGGAGAAATCGCAAGCCAACCCCAAATCCGATATTCTTACGTGGCCGTGCTCATCCAGGAGGATATTCGCCGGCTTCAGGTCCCGATAGACGATGTACCTACGGTGCATATGTTCTAATCCGAGTATTACTTCCGCTGCGTAGAATTTCATCTCCCGCTCGTTGAACACTCCGTGCTGGCTAAGGTGGTAATGAAGGTCGCCCCCGTTCATCAAATCAAGAATGAAACAGAGCTTGTCTGGTGTTTGGAAGGCGTATGTCATGCACACTATGAATGGACAATCCACCTAAAATCGTAGTCGCAGTTATAGTTTGTTCTACTTCGTTCGTGAAATTAAATCGTTACTATCAAACTAGATTACGATAACTGTGACGTTTGGTGTTTACTTTTATGAATGAATTAGCAATTTATGGGTGATATTTGGGATACTTTTATGTCAGTGATGAGCAACCTTTGTTTCGAGCCAGAATTGAAAGGCGAACGCAATATTAAATATATTAATAAGAAATTTCATTCAGAGGGTGGTATTTGTTATTTTCAGTGAAACTTCAATGACATTTTTGTTTATTAGATTTATTTTTGAGGGAACTCGTATCGAATGTACCTTTCGCTAAGACTTTTACACTTCAGCCAAATGAAGTGTCAACGTTTCGGCAGGCTGCAGGTAAGTAGCTGTAGGGCCACATGCGGCCAATGGGTTGCTCAGCACTGTTTTAGGTGATTATCAGAACTAGAACTACCAACCTGTAATGTGCATTTAGATATAGTGTACATATGATAATAATAAAGGTAGTATGATAAAAATAAATAGCTGTATACATACTATTCTATAGCTATTAATATATCATATGATTATGTTTCTGCCATGGTCAAAATTGACATTTATTTTGACACAGGTAGCTGCATATATTTAGAAATTAAAAATATCATAATATATAAAATTGAAAATTTCATTTGGTAGTTCTAGCATGTACGATTTTTAACAATCATTGACGTTTTTCTTTATTAGAGTAATTTCTTCTGTTTCGAATTTTGCTTTGGAAAGTGCTTCTCTTATCTCGTGAATTATATACGTCATGCTTATAGTCAATGATTGATTTATTACAGTAGGTGAATCGTTTGTAATGAGTACATTACTTGCATTCCGCGAAATGTTTTACATGTTAGCGAAAAAGAGGATTGATGAGAGAAACTCTTAAGCGATATATTAATATTTTTGATCGATTCCTTCACATCGTGTATCGTTAAAAATTATACTTGAATTATTCTTAAACGCTATTTAAATGATAAATAAATAACTGAACATGACAAGTCAATTTTACACGATAAATAAATAAAATCCGAATTTCATTAAACCTTTGCACTCGGAATTATTTTTCCATTTTGTTGCCAGTAACTCCTTACTATTTTAAGCATTTTGTTTGAAATTTACTTCACAGGACAGTTCCTCGGCTGTTATTTACTTTAAAGAATTTTGTTTACTGATTATATTAAATATATCTGTCAATCATTGTTGTAATTTATATTTTGAATTTAAGTAATTCAAGTAGTTACTTATTTTCTATTTTCTTGTTCAGTAAATAAAGAATCAGAAAACGTTGAATGTAATTCGACATAGGAGTTCCAGTAATAATAATTGATGTCGAGTTACACTCGATAAAGGAGTGCAAAGGGTTAAGGAAGATGTACACAAAATTTATATAAGCTCTTAATTTTGTATCAACAAAACAGAAATTAACAGTATAAAATACATATTAAAAAGAAGTATAGAATGATTGTTAATATTACAATTTATTTCGAAGAAATGCAAAATTCGTTGGAAAAATATTTGAACACTCGACTATAGGTACCGCATCTGCATAACATTTAAGCAACGATGTACGATGTTTATACCTTTGCGCTGCTTCATACATGTCGAAGGATTTTTCGAAAGATACTACTTAATCAAACATATGGAAGGAAAATCGATCGAGAGATTACTATACTACGTTTTAAAATTTACATTCTACTGTATTTTTAGGATATTGCATCATGGAGTAAAGCTTACACCGGTACTGACTGCCGAAAGCATTATCCTCTCGTTGAGCGCTAAAGTTTCGCCTTGTTTCATTTTTATTCGCTTCTTGTCAAGGCACTTCATTGCGTACATTTTTCCTGTGTCTGCCTTTCGACACCCGTAAACTTCTCCGAAACCGCCTCTTCCTATTATTCGATGGACACTGAAGTCGTTCATTGTCAACTGAAACAGCAATTCGTTCAACGAATTTTTTAATTTTTTAACATTTAAATACGCACATTTCGACGCATCATTTTCTCTTAATATTTAATACGTTCATTTTTATACAAATTTTCTGCAGTATAGTTCAGCGATTACATACGTATAATAATGAGTGCGGCCCTGAAAGAATATCAAGAGTGTTTGGGACATAGAACGAAAGTGACTATGAGCAAGAAGATCGAATGTAAGGGATGTTTATGACAAAGCCAAATGCAAGAAACGAGTGAAAGTTTACGAATGCGTCCTGTGTTTGAAGTATCTGGTCCACCGAGGTCGCGTGGAAAATGAGTGATCAAGAAAGAAAGCTTGAGTATGAAAGAAGACAGAGCGTGTAAGGTTAAAATAAGGATACAAGGATGCGAGCAGGTCAATCGTAGAAGTCGATCCAAAAGTCTTAAAGTCAGTTGTAAGACAGTCGTATGAGTCGAAAGAAAGTTGAGTGTTGTACAAAGCGTGAGAGTGAAAGGTTGAGTGAAGTTGTGGTCGAGACAAGCGTGCACAGTTACTATTCTATTAATCTGTTATTTTATTAATAAAGCTTATTTTATTCTATTAAGCATAACAATATTATCCTAGTCGATCCTACATACGTGATATCGAATGGTCAATTATTCTTCGTGAAAGAATAATAACATGAAATTACAGTAGAACCTCGATTATCCGTATTCCTGTCACTTGAATTCTCTATTATGCGAATACTGACGTAAAAATGCCACTTTGAATTGGTTCATATGTAATAACTCGACTATTGAAATGAGTTAGCGTATCATGGCACATGATTATAGCGTAGTAATACGATGAAACTTCTTTAATCAATCATGAATGGAATAACGATAACCTACCCCAATATTTTAATACTAAAACTACCAAAGGGTTCAAAATGACTTGTTGCAGATACTCTATTCCTACAGTTTCTGGGAACAGGTACCTTTGGCAAAATTAATACTGACTTTTATTTAGATGGAGACAGAATTATACATAGTTACTTGTCATCACTGTGCCACTACAATTATCATCATTCCTGTATAAAATATTTAACTCTCCATTACAAGATGGCAGCTCCAGTGTTAAAGTATTTCACTCTTCAGAAATGAGCTTTAGGCAGGTACATGACATAAAAAGAATAAAATTTTACAGGTTTGAATTTACTAACGAGATTACTGTTAAGACGTAATAGTTCAGAAATTTTAGGATCTACAAATTTTTAACTAAATTAGACTTAAAGTTACTAATTGTTGTTACCATTATTGTATATATACGATATTACGTTTTCCCGTTTTGAAATGTATCAAAATTAAAATCGAAAAAGCATGTTTTATTACCCGAAGATTCTTTCATCCGAACGCTTATATTTCCCAATTAGTTCGAATAATTGAGGTTCTACTATATAAAATAAATTGTTCTTGAAATTTGGAACCATTGGTAGCAAGTTTTCTCATCTCATGGGGTTACCCCTTTCGCTAAAACCTGCCAAAAAGTAGAGATATTATTTGCATATGGTGGTAAGAAGGATGTGCAATACATTATTGGCCAGATAGCGATTTTATGTTACAATATGGATTCACCAATTTCATAATGAACCACGATTTACTCAACTTTTCATCCCATTGTCCTTATACCACTTTTATTAACCCCTTGCACTACGACTTAATTATGAAAAATTATGCATCGAAGTAGTATTTAATTTCAGTTAGTCACTGTATATCTATTCCATCTACGATAAAATTGGATACAAGTTTTGGAAATTCTTCGAATTTTGTGCATGTAATTCGTGACGAGTTAGATTCGTGATCGTAGTGCAAAGGGTTAAACCACTTTACATGTATACATTACATTACCCGCAACACAAAAGCAGTTCTCTAACTTACCTGCATGTTCAACTCTAAGTTCTTCCACTGACAAAAACGAGTGTACTTCTCGCTGAAAATATACAACGACATTTCTTAGCAATTTTTCAAGCCACAAACAAGCTAAATAGCGACTTGTCTTTCCTTTAGTCGGTAACCTACCTTTCTAGAAACTTCTTGAACGGCTCCCCCCTTAAGTGATTAAAAATCTCTTCGATATACGGCTGGAAACAGGGAATCGATTTCGAACTTAATCCAAAATTGTATTCGATATTATTTACAATTAGGCAATAGAAGATTAGGGGGGACCAACCTCGAATAAATTAACAGGGACCTCGTTTTTCATAAGGTACTTATGAACGTGGGACACGGCTTCCGAGGAGTATTCCTGGAATCAAAATCAACGTACTATTAAAATGGTAAATTGACACTGTCTTTCATGTACAACGTCTTAGAAAAAGATAGTCTCCTTAAGACAAAAGAAGAAAAAATATGGAGAGATAAAATAGAGCGAAAAATTTTGTTAATATAATATTGTACGTAACTGTATAAAATGTGTATTTCATCCTTATGTCAAAATTTAAGATAACAAAAGAAACTAATTTTCTCCACCTTAATTTTAAAGAACAGAAAATAAAAATTAAGTATTAATTAAATAATTGTATGCTTATTACTTAGAAAGTAATGGTAAGTGGATATCTCATTGTTCTTCACCACATTTTTTTTTAAGATTATGCACATTTTTCACAGATATGTTTCTTATATATGAAATAAATTTTGAAGAAGTAATAGTCTGAATATAAAGGAATTGAGAGTACATATCGATTAACTAGATAGATATTATTTGAGAAATTATTAAAATAAATTGTTAAATGAAAGTCTCAGTATTAATATCATTCTTATCATTTAATATTATGCAATAATTAATTTCGAGAAACACGCTTGATTAATAAGACAAATCGAGGAGTTTCATTTTAACAGTAAATAAAAATAGTATTACATATTTATGTATTATAATAAATGCGTTGATTATTTCTGAAACAATGAGAACTCTGGAGAAACTAAAATGGCGAAGAGTCGAATATTTATCTGTATATAGATGGACTTATCAAGGAAATTATCTGTAGAATTTTTATAAGATATAATATTCTTATTTATTTTACTTCTTTTTTTATTTTTATTCTACTTAAGGAGACAATCTTTTTCAAGGATAGTATATTCAACGAGTTACATATGAATGTATTTTGCTTCTGATATTCTTGAATAAGGTGAAATAAAAAGTATGTATATTCACACAAAAATAATATTAAATAAAGATCGAGTAACGATTTTAATGTTAAACAAAAAATTAAGAATTTATTCAACTTACAATTTTCTTCTTCCTAATGATACTTAAACCTCTTTGTAAATAAAAGTTATTAGTAAGTATTCGTAACTTAATTAAAAAATTTGATGTCTAAATTAAAGAGTGTACTTAATATATATTAATTGTGAATTTCAATATCGTATATTTACGATAATTTTTTGTCAATTTATATTCTAATTAAGTTCAGTCAATCTTTTAATTAGGTGTCCTATTCATAAATTTAAAATATTATATAAAATTTGTATTCGAAAGAAAGTTATATAAATTCGAGAACAGTATTAAATTTTCTATGCTTTCTAATGCATTATCTAATATCGGTATGAAACTGGGTTTCTTTATCATATCCTTACTTGCGATGAATTTTAAACGACATTCCAAATGTTGCGTAATAAAGGCTTTTTCTAGTCCTCGCAGCTCTCACATAACTAGAAAAATTTATCTCAACCCTCATGCAACAAATAGCAAATTGCATTACTACTTTGATAATTCATTATCTGTTTATTCGTTTAATTCATTTTAAAATAAAAATTAGATGTTCATAAATGACGATATTTTTGAAAATATCTATAAAGTTTTAATTTTAGTATGGATTTAACTTACAAATATTGTAATTTACTCTAATATTTATTACTTTTATTTACTACTTTATAATATTTACTATGACACTTATTAAACATGAAACAACGACTATTTGTTATATACTTTTGTCCAGAAATTTTAGGATACCAGCTGCTTTCGTACAGAAGCTAATAATTAAATTAACACGTTGACTGCCATGGTGGTGACCAGTGTCCGGCAATACTAATTTTTTACATTAATATTTGTTTTATTCTAACCAATTTTTGAATATTTGAACAACGGCAAATAAATAAAGAACTTTGAATAGAAAACATTAATAATTTGCACCACTTTTTCTTTCTTTTTTTTCTTTGGTATATTGTTTAATAATTCATCATTATATTCTAAGAATAGTGCGTGACAGTCAAAGTGTTAAATTAGCAAGATACTATTATTAATCGATTAGAATTATTCTATTAAAACAAGCATGATCCTGAACACAAAAACTTATGGAAATGATTTACAAGCATCTTGTTCTAAATTCCGCTAAAAACCAACTTGAAATAAAATAAATAAAAAGTTTTAGAAAGTTTGTTCAAGATCCGAGTTTTATTTATGGAATAATTTACATTGCAAACTGTACAATATGCAATCAGATAATTAGAAATACAGGAAGAGAACTAATAACAAGAATGCTACGATTAATTAAAACTAGTGATCGTAAAACGAAATAGATAATACATAAAATAGAAAATATTGAACTTTATTTTAATAAATGAGGTTGCTAGTATAATATTGAATAAGTGAGTTCTTTATAGTCTAAGGTTCTAAACGAGGTAATAATTCTTAGAAGTTTTAATAACTGCCTAAGGAGTCTTTGAGTATAAGTACTTTATTTTCCACAATTGTTTTAATACTTACGAGCGAAGGCTATAGATAAAATTAATTTCGAGTGAATAAAGGAAGTCTGAGATAAATTTCTATTAGAAAACGTTCTAACTGGCTGCTTCTTATTTGAAAGAGAATTTTATGTCTTTTATATATCAGGCTAATCCATATGAAATATCGTTTCTCTGGAATTTGAATTTCAACGGGACAATATCATCCACGAAATTTTGCTCTATCGTTAATTATTGCCAAATACTTTAAAGAAGGAGATGAAAATTGCAATATATATAATCTTGTATCGAATGATGATAATATATACATATAACAAAATTCAATCAAAATATGATCGCAAATGATTTTTACTTATTCTACCTCATTCCCATGCACACATATAAAACCAACACTCACAGTAGTTTCCTAAAATTTGTAATTCGAATATACTGCACTTTTGTCAGTCACAGTATACATCTCAAAATGGAATTAAAAAAAAAATCAGAACCTTGTTCCTTTGTATTTTTATCTTCTCGAAGAATGCATTTATCAACTTATGTTTATGCCATATCATCTTCTCTTTCACAGAAAATTTTTGATAAGAACAATGCAAAACTCTCTGTATATCAATAATTCTGTTTCCAAAACTGGAAATTAATTCTGTCTTCAAATCTGTGTCCTAATTATAGTGGATGATACAAGGAAATAAAGACTACTTTGCAATACAACTCGCAATACCTGAAATAATTGGAATTTAATAGAATGTTATTGAAAGATAACTCTATCTCTCAGAACCTATCGTTTATTAAGCGTGTTACAAACTAATCGAACGAAGAAGAAAGGACAATTATTCTTACTTGGAGCCGTCACGTGTAAACATTTCGGGTAATGTATAACCAGACAGAGCAGCAAAAGAAGCTTCGATTCTATCAATAACGGATGAAGAGCATCCGACATTTTCTCAACTGATCAATAGTAATTCAAAGATGAACTTTTATCTTTATGGAACAACGAATGGAAAAACTTTGTATCGTATATAGCGATGATTAATGAAAATGTAAATTTCAAAAGAGAAGAGTAAGTAGCAAAAGGCATGGGATGGGTCATAAGGTTACAAATGAATTCAAATGTTTATGGAACATTTGCGGAGTGGGAAATTAAATATACCGGAGTAAAAATGAACGAAGAAGCAAATCTGAAACGAGAACAGCAAGCGTCCTGTATCTATTATTTATTAATTATTGACTTATTATAACTATTCTCTAACCCAAACCTCTGAATTCGCAATGTATCCTTAAATATTAAACAATTATAAACATCAAAACCTGAGTTTCTTGCTATATGTTTCATATTAGAGATCGTGTTTATAGCATAACTTTTATTTTAATACTTTTATGTTAGATAATTCTAAAAACTTTATTATTCTGTATTACAACTAGAACTTCGAAGGTTAGACGTGTCACGCTGCCCTTTCAGCGGATTAAGTCATATATCTAAATACAAAAGTACAAAAAATTTACAACTATCAGACCCGATCGATTGGACCCACGTGCAACGAAGCGACGAACGGACACCTACTTATAAATCACATCATTGACTACTGAAAAGCAACTTCCTTAACAGTTCCCACTCCTAATCTAAAAGTCCTTTCGACACACCTATGTCCAGTCAAAAAATTCTACTTTTCCTCCTAACATTCACTCTAAACCAATCAAAACAAACTCGAGGAAACACCTATCAGTGTTTTCTATCAAAATTACTTCTTGCGTGAATTTTGGGACGCCCTATACATATAATAAAATTCAACCTTCTGCACTATTAATTTTTATTTCAAATCGTTATCATTATTAATTATTACTATATATATGGGTAGAATGGAGCAAAAATATCTTTCACTATTATTAACGAGGAACACAAAGTATATTTAAGTAAAAGTTCTCTTACCCTGTATCACGATTTGGTGATCATTCCTCGATAATTCTATGATGACTGTTTTTTTTTGGTTCACATATTATATTTACATCACAGATTGCACAATTGTAAACAAAGGAGTCGCATTCACGCTCACGCATATAAAACCAACACTCACGATATATACTATACCAATATATACTAACAGCAATGAAGTATAATTAATTTTGCGAAAAGAAAATTTGTAACAGAAATAATTAAAGCTCTTCACTAATTGTCACGAAAAGTATGACTATTCGATTGCATGATTTTTCATAAGCGTCTCCAGGCTGAGCGAAGTAACACAAAAGATAGGGAAGACGTGAATTTAACGGTTGTAAAAATTTAAGTAAATGTCAGCGTTGATTCGTGGAATTTAAAATCGACGATTTTTCATTGGGATATGAACCCGGATGAAGACTGGAAAGTGCCAGGGACGATAATGTCCGAAGACATATCGCTGAAAATAATCCACGAGAAACAGCGAGAGAAATGACGTTTCGAATAAAAGTGTGCCATTGTATCATCATTCGTCATTTGGCTCAAGTAGGAAAGGCGAAGAGGCTGAGAGAAAACCAGAAGATATATCCGTCACGTTGTTTCTGAGATCCATAAACAGGATCCATTTTTAAAAT